TATTCATGCTTTTTTTTTTTTTAAAAAAAAAGGGCCATTTTTCGCAAAAAACGGGTCATTTTTGGGAGGTTTGCAGAGTGCAAAAGATCCCCCCCCCCTTTTGGAAAACTCTTTAACTGATTGATGAGAATTACATTGATCAAGTGCTGTGCCAGCAGAAACGAAGTCTTAGGTGCTGCAGATTGTCAGCGATTTCTTTCTCCAGCACATGGGTAAATACATCTGGAAACATCTACCTACCTACTCTCTTATGTAATACTTTGCTGATAAATAGATGAAATGCTAAAGCTCAATGCTACTACATTCTTATATAAATACTGTTTCTCAATTTGTGAGCAGGAAGAAATAAAACATTAAAATAGAATAATCAGCTTTGTGGTAAACACAAAGGAAAGGCATATTTGAGCATAAGAATAGTATGCAGGCCTCAATATTATCATACGAAAACAGAAACTTTCTATAGACTTTTCAGAAAGATGCATTAATATTTGGTACTGGAAGTAGTTAACCTTAAGCCAGACTCTATGTGTTTCTTTTTAAAATGTCTTTCTCTCCCCCCTTTTCTTCAGGTGTAACAACATACAGATCATAAATACTTTTATAGCATGCAGACTGTATTTCTAAAATGTTTAGTTCACGATGCTTTTATCTTTCAGAATATTTACGTTTATTTTACATAAAATCTCTTATTAACAGATTCAGTATTCAGTATTCCCAGCAGTGTGTTGTATCTAAAATATATATGCTCAAAGTAACTCAACTGCAGCAAATTACATTGTGTAATTGAAGTAGCATGATGATGTCACTTCAGAAAAGCAAATTGAGGCACATAATGAGCATTGTGCCATGTTTGATACTGAATTTATAATCCAAGGCCATCAATATAGTCAACATTTGGAGAAAAGGCAAAGATGTGTTTTGAATTATTATTTTTTTGGACATCTCAGTGAAATTGATTATGGGCTTCTTCACCGTAGATGATATTTCTCTGGTTTAAAATTTTAGCATTTTAACCAATTTAGTTTTCAATTTTACATTTAGCCATGTTTTCCTTATTCTTTCACATCTTTTTGCTTTATCTTACCATATTCATTCATTCATTCATTTTTAAACATGTTTTATTTCTGCTGTTTTCATTTCTCCCTCCTAATGTCAAGAAATGTAAAGATAAAAGACTGACAAATACGTGTATAAGAATTAAAGCAGAGCATTTTACTTTCTTCATTTTATTGTGGAGACTGGTCAGCTAATTCATAAGTAAAAAGAGAGTATTAGGAGAAAATTAGGTTTGATGATTCTGAAGCTATGCTGAGTGCAGCTAATAGGACAGTCTGGGGAATCCTTTCTAAAAGCAGTTCCAGTGTGCATAAACTTTTTCCATTTTACCTCCTTTAGTCAGCACAGAAACTCAGAGGCTACACCTATAATTAGGAATACAGGTGTTACTTTTCCATGTCATCAAATAATGCAGAGAATATAACTAGTTTCCAAAACAAGTTAATATGTCAAAGATTCAAATACATGCAATATAAAGTGAGCAGATGTGCATGTGCATATGGGATTTTTTTTCTTGCTGTTCTGCTGTATGCTCTCTGGAAGATTAACATTTGGGGGACAGGCCACATCTTATCCTAGACTTTTAAAAAGGACCAGAAGTTTGTAGTCTCATCTCCAACAGTTGGAAGACAAATACTGGAAAACTTATTTCTTCTATAATAAAATAGCCTGTTATCATGTTGCTTTTTCTTATTCTCCTGTGCGCTGCTTGGAGAATCCAAGTGTGGGTTCAACTTCTGTCTATCTGCCCAGTGACTGAGTTTTATTAAGAACTTTGGTCAAACCTTGGCTCGACTGTTTTGAGTTTCTCAACTCAGTCTGAAGCCCATAGGATGTGACTACCAATCTCCTACAAACTACTAAGCCAAAAAAAACAGATTTGTCCCAGACTTGAATTCTTTGATCATCGATTTGGAGTTTTCTACCTGCTCTTGCTGCAACAGAAGGTTTGTTCTTGATATAGGGAAGCTTTTCATTAATCTTACATGATTTTCATAGTTTTCTTACTACTATTTGATCTCCAGACATATTTTTGTAGCATAATAAAATGATACAAGACAATTCCACAGGATTTTTATAATATAATCTATATTCTATAAGATGTTTCTAATGTAATGCCTTATTGACATAAATTTGGCAGTGTTTCTAAGGTAAAATATGGTATTTTTACAGGAGCAACAAAACCAGTTTCATTATTTTTTGTCTCTTGGTTTAATAGAAAAAGTTTAGGTTGATGTGCACCCAGGTAACAACAACCAACAAGAAATTCTTGTTTTACTGGTTTATTATTTAGCTGAATAATCTTTTTATGCTTTAAAGAGATTATGGTGATTTATAGTGAGTGATCTGCTACCCTGTATTTGACACTGGTTGACTAATTTTGTGTCATTGGGTCATTGTCAACTTTTACTGATCATATAGATTTTCTCCATGATAATCTGTTACTAACCTGATCTACAGTACCCATTGCTACTGTACCAGAGTCTATCCACCTTGTTCTTGGTGGTTGTTCTTCTTCCCAGCATTAGAACCTTTGTTAGAGAGCTATGTCTTTGCATAATGTGTCCAAATTAAGATAATTTGGGTATGGTCATTTGTACTTTAAGTAAAAACTGTGGATTGAGTAGTTTGAATTGGAAAAAAACCCTCTGGATTGAGTAGTTTATCCATCACTAAAATTCAAAAGAATCAATATTCTATCTTGTTTCTTCAAAGTCCAACCTTCACTGTCATAGAGTATCACGGGGAAAAGTGCTTGCATTATTCTGATCATTGTAGGTAGAGATACATCATGGAATGAGTATCTTTTCATGGCCGCTTTGCTAAATGCTAATCTGCCGTGTATTTGTTGACTTCATGTTTTTTTACTATTGCACCTAAAAGGCAGAAGCTATCTGTCCCTTCAGTATCTTCATTAGCATCTCAAAGGATGATTGTTGTACTTGATGTTATTCATTTGATTGGCTTATACTTGATTTTAGTCATTTTTTTTGGCAAAACTGTTGTGAATTAAATCACATGCTCATGGGATGCTGCAAATGGCCATAAATACTGCTATGTTGCCAAGCATTCATAATTCAGTCATGTGATCAATGGGAGGGGCAACTGTTAGGACATTGGATCCAGATTGTAAGTCCCCTTTTTCAGGTCAGTCCTAACTTTGAACAGTCGCTAGGTCATTTTTGTTTGTTTTCTTTTGAATGTAACTGATCATAGATCAAATATAGACTGAATTGATTGATCAATTACTTAGTAGTAAGTTGAATACCTGTGGTGTCATAAGCATAACACAGGTTATTGATGTTTTTCCTCCAAATTCAAAAAAGATAAAACAACTTCTTCCAATCAAGTTTTCTTTAATATATATTCATATGGGTTGAATAATTAAGGGGAGAGTATAAGCCTTGATTCCCCACTTTGCCATCCATAGTCTGTCCATACTGTAGCTTCCTGACTCTCATATATATGTATGTATGTATGTGTGTGTGTGTGTATGTATGTATGAGGACAATGAGATGTTCTGTGATCTCTGACACTATTAAATACTGATAATGAAGCTGTTTATTTAGTTCATGGTTGGTTTAGGAACATGTCTTTTGAATATTAATCAATAGATGCTATACTGCAGTAATTATTTGAATAAAAATTAGTAAATTGGAGTACGTAGTTGCATCAACTAGGTTTAGAGCAAGCATTGTTTTATATCCCATTAGCTTAAGAACTTTTTAGAAACTTGCAAACAACTTATATTTGTTCTTAATTTTAAATCTTGTCCTTATTAAATCTTATCGGTTTCATAATTATATATTATTTGGTTGATTACTTTTTAATAGATGAATGACTAAAAACAAAATGAATCCCTTGACAATATTAATTTATGTTGTCAAAGAGGGAGATTTTGGTGATAAAAGTCTAGTAAGTTAAAAAAGGAATGATCTCCCTCCATGTATTGAAGAAACTTTTAAATTGTATGTGTACATGCTGATATATTTAAACATTTCCTTACATGTTTGATTTTTGGATGACTTTTGAAGCCCATGGGCAGACTTTAAATGTTCAAAGCAATATTTTTTAAAATAAGATGCTTTTTATATTGTACTAAAAGTGCACTCTGGGAATTGTCATCCAAAAACAGTGCCGACTAGAAAATTTGGAAATTCTAGTCCTAACACACCTGATAAGTGTCAGATGAGAAATGGTTGGTTCAAATTTCAGTTACTGACAGTTTATTCATTTTGATAAACTGAAAGACTTGATAGTCTTCTGTTATGATACAAGAACAGTCTATTAACTAAATGTATTTGCTGTGTCATTTCTTGGCTGCTATGTTAATTGTCAACATTCTACATTGTTTGATCTTGTCTTTTTTTCTCTTATATTGAAGAAGAAAGAAGATTGGATATAGATGAGAAACCTCTAGTTGTACAATTAAATTGGAACAAAGATGATCGTGAAGGAAGATTTGTGCTTAAGAATGAAAATGATGCACTTCCTCCAAAGGTAAAAAGCAATAGATGTAGATGTAGATATAGATGTAGATAAATTTATTTATAGGCTGCCCTTTTCCCTAAGGGGACTCAGGGCGGCTTACAACGTATAGGGAAGGGAGTACACACAATGACATATAAAGACAGTACGTAATTAAAAATAGAAGCAACATTCATTCATCATTCGGGAGGGGACGGATTATAATCTTTAACTCCATGTATTAAGTCTTTAACTCCATTCTTTAAAGAAT